CAGCACGGCTCCAGCGGCGAGCAAACCACTCGCGCAGCTGCTGTGGAGAGAGTGGCTCCCGCCGGGACGAAGCACCCGAAGGACCTCCAGGCGCAGCACCTCCAGACTCTACACGCGCAGGCTCAGCACCCTCAGGCTCAGCACCCCCAGACTCAGCAACCCCAGGCTCAGCACCCCCAGACTCAGCACCCCCAGGCTCAGCACCCCCAAAGTCAGCACCCCCAGGCTCCGCACGCTCAGGCTCAGCACCCCCAGACCCGGCACCCACAGTCTCAGCAACCCTAGCAGCACCAGAGCCAACAGCTACCTCGACAGGCTCGACTGCGTCTACCTGGGACACACCTGAGGGGGCAGGACCCTGAGGGGGGAGGGGGTCTACCGGGGGAGGACCTGGCGCGAGGAAGAGCGGCGGGGGGGGGAGGGGGGCAGTGCGGTAGGGGAAGAGACGGTAGTAAGGAACCGACTCGTCAAACGTGACGTCCTGAGAGGACAAAACACGACGCGAGGTGGGGTGGTAAAACTGCCAGCCAGGCGCGTCAGGGGGGAAGCCAAGGAAGACGCAGGGAACATCACGGGAGGACGGCTTGTCCGCAGACAAGTCGCGGACGAAAGCTCGAGATCCCCAGACACGGAACGCAGACGCATCGCCAACCTTCCCCGTCCACCGCAGAGTAGGGGTGGTCTCCGGCATGGAGACCCGGGGCTGGAGGTTGATCTGATGCGCCGCGTACTGAACCGCGAACGGCCACAGAAAATGGGGAGCAGCCGCATGGATCATGGACGTACGAGCGACGTCCATGACCATGCCAATGCGGCGCTCAGCAATCCCATTATGTTGTGGAGAGGCCGGAAGCGTGAACGTCTGGCGGATGCCCTCCGCACGACAGAAGGCCCGCAGAAGGTCGGAGGAAAACTCTCCACCTCTGTCGGAGTGCAGACGCAGAACAAGAAAGTCCGAGCCGAAACTCTCTCAGAGCTGGAGATGGGCAGCGCGGATCCAGTCGATCAACACCTCAGTGACCTCACCCTTGCGGCGCAAGGGGAAGACTGAGGTGTAACGCGAGTAGTCGTCAACAACCAGCAGGAAGTAACGCTCGTGACCCTGTCCACGGACGTGGGCTGGGCCCCACACGTCCATGTGGAGAGTCTGCAAGGGAGCCTCTGTCGGAGGAAACTCGGAGGAGTGAGGAGCGGCGCGCTGCCGGCCCTCGACGCAGGGAACGCAGGTAGGGGCAGGCCCCGGAGGAAGGGGAGGGAGGGACCGGGGGAGACCAGAGACAAGGACACGGGAGGCCATGCCTCGGAGATGAGGCAGGGAGGGGTGACCAAGGCGGTGGTGCCAGAGGAGAGTCTGGTGAGACAGGAGGCGACACGAGCAGGGGGCAGACTCAGGACCAGACCGGGACGCTGCAGCAAACACCTGACCCGACGCGGCTACCTGACCAGACTCAGCAACCGGAGGAGACACGGTAGTCAGGGTGTACAGGCTCGACCCAAGCTGACGAGTGAACGTGGCTAGGTGCCGGCCCGTGCGAGTACACGAACAGTGGGTCACCCGCTGACCTCCAGGAGTGAACTGGTCAACCCACACGTCCTGAAGGTTTGCTCCACTCACCAAGTTCGTGGAGAACGAGGGGAGGTGGAGGCCAGACAAAGAGCCAGACGGGACCGCCGGACATGACAGAACCGTGGAGGAGTGTGCAAGGACCGGACCCCCAGAGGGGTCAGCCAGAGAGACTGCCACCGGCCGACTGAGCGGCGAGAGTGTGGTGCAGTCGCGAAAGAAGGAGCGGGAAGCACCCGAGTCAAGGGTGAAAGTGTGCAAGACCTGAGGCGACGCGGTAGCTGAGAGAGCAGCCTCACCAGTACCTAGAGCAGCAGACTCACTAGCACCTAGAGCAGCAGCCTCAATGCCCGGGTCGGGCGGAACACACAGGTAATAGTCACCCTCAGCACTAATAGACACAGCATACATAGCAGCAAGGATAGCATCATAATCAAGATCAAAGATAGCAACCCCCGACTTAAGCAAATCACCCCAGCGAGGGATCTCAGTGGTGTCAGGGAACTGTGTACGCCATGCGTCAGTCAGGCGGCCGAAACAGCGGAGCGTGGCGTGCGGGCCGCCGCACGTCTCTCCACTGCGGTCGCCGGTGCGGAGAACGTAAGTGCAGGGACCAGCACCCCCAGACCTCCCACGCCCAGCGTACCACTCACAAAGCTGCTGGGGCGATAGGGTCTCACGAGGGCGCTGCTGCTGCTGGCACTGGCCACCGCCAAAGCCTCCCCGCTGCACAGCGCCACCACGACCAGCACCACCGCCACCGCCACCCCCACCGCCGCCGCCGCCGCCGCCACCTCCACCCCCACTGCCGTTGCCTCCGCCGCCTCCACCTCCACCGCCGCCACCGAAGCCCCCACTCCCGCCACCACCCCCACCTCCACCCCCATCCCCTCCGCCGCCTCCACCGCCACCACCGCCGCCCCCGCCGTCTCCTCCAGCACCCTTGCCCCCCCACTAGGAGCAGACGCAGCGCCGACCGACTCGGTGCCAACGAGGTCGACAGCAGCAGCAGAGGCAACAGAGGGCAAGAGGGGAACGGGGGAGCACCCCTCAAAGAAAGGTGCGCGAGGGTCACCACGAGAGGCTCCTACAGTGACTATACTCTTCTCAGCTGCAAGGAGGCGCTCCTCGAGGAGGTCAACGGTGAGTGTGGTGGGGCAAAGGGAGAGGAAGTGGTCCCTGACCGAGCGAAGGGAGTCAGGGAGCCGGGTGACGAGGTAGTAGAGAGTGATGTACATAGGGGGGGGGTTCTTGGCGCAGAACTCGGCAGGAAGCGCAGCGCGGTAGCGGGTGTCACTAGTGCGGAGGTGCGTAATGAGGTCAGCGACTGTGGCAAAAGTGGCTAGGTCAGGGAACAGGTACGGCAGCATGAGGCGGCTAAGGGCAGCAGTGGCAGGGGAGGAGTAGCGCGCAACAACAGCGTCGTACAGAGTCCTAGCGGTTTTGTACTGTCTAAAGTGCGCGCGCTCAGCAGACGGCAGGTGACTACGAATAGCAAGACGGGCAGCAGCATCGCGCGTGGTTCACTGTGAGCGAACAGCACTGTCAGCATCAGCAGTAGGTGCAGCAGAGGCGCCAGATGTGAGATCAAAAAGCGAGACTCCGTCCTTGCTATCGCACTGCAGAAACAGCTGCAGATCATCGACCCAGACCTCGAAATCTACTGCCCGACCCTCAGCATCAAAGGAAAGTACATTAGGGGTAGCCATGACAGCAGTAGCAGTAGCAGTAGCAGTAGGAGCAGCGCGACTCGGCAGGGCGGCGCGGCTCGGTAGGGCGGCGCGGCTCGGCAGGGCTGCGCGGCTCGGCAGGGCGGCGCGGGTGCAGCGGTGCGCTTACCAGGGCGGGATCGGGGTAGGGCCGCAGCTGGAAGGGCAGGGCCGAGGCGCGCCGGCAGGTCAGGGCCGCGTCAGGCAGGGCCGCAACGAGGCGGCAGTGAAGGGTGGCGACGCGGGCGCAGGGTAGGGCCGCAGCGACGGCGGCAGTAGGCAGGGCCGCAACAGCGGCAGTAGGAAGGGCTGCGGCGGCGGCAGGCAGGGCCGCGACGGCTGCAGGCAGGACCGCGACAGCAGGGCGGCTTCAGGGAGGGCAGCGACGGCAGGGCTGCAGGGCCGCGACAGCCGCAAACAGAGCCGCGACGGCAGGGGCCGCGACGGCAGGGGCCGCAACGGCAGGGGCTGGACGGCAGGGGCTGCGACGGCAGGGGCCGCGACGGCAGGGGCCGCGACGGCAGGGGCCGCGACGGCAGGGGGCGCGACGGCCAGGGGCCGCGACGGCAGGGGGCGCGACAGCCAGGGGCCGCGACGGGAGGGCAGCGACGGCTCTAGTCAGGGCCGCGACGGCAAGTCAGGGCCGCGACGGCAGGGCAGGCGCACGGGGCGCAAGTAAGGCAGGCGCACGGGGCGCAGGTAAGGCAGGCGCGAGGCGCTCGACAGGGCAGGGAGCGCGCTTCGGGCAGGGCAGAAAAAAAAAATTAAGCGGTGGGCCCTTAAAGAAAAAAAAAACGGTCCCAATAGGGAACCCGCTCTATACCATGTGAAGAATGAACGAGGGAATGAGATGGACTAGAAAGGAGATGGGTACAAGTATGAAAACCTAGAAAAGCTGTACCCCATACTGTCTACCCCACTACAGCCTACATAGGCTATATCATATATGTTTGACATACAATGCTGGCAGAACTACTCTGCTGCAGCGTTGACAAGCCGCTCTTCTGCTGCGCTGGCATAATTCGCCGTGCAAAGGGCTTGCTAGGTGTTGCAATGCCATTCTAGCTATTTCGACTTGCATGCCTTATTGTAATCATTGTTCTCTCAATTTCTTAGTGCAACTCTTGCCAAATTTCCTTGTGAACACAACAAGTAGTGAGAACGCTGGTGCAACGCTACAATCACCCGCACAACCCCGTGCCCTACCCCGTAGTCCACTCCCGTTGTGTAGTGACTCTCCGCATCATGGAGTTCGTCCAGAAGTGACAACGTAGAGGTGCCTCCTTCGTTCGACGATCTAGAGCCAGATTTTGACGGTGTGGACGATGTAGATGCGGCTGCCGCTGACGCTGCCTCGGATGGTGAGGCATCAATGTCGCGCATGAGTGATTTGACAGGGGTTGAAAACAGTTCACAGGACCCTCTAGGCTCCAATGTGCGACCCGCAACTCCTTTCTGCTTCAAAGACGAGATATCACGCTGGGTGCAACGCGTATCACAACGTGGCATTTCGTCGCCTATTGCGATTCTTGGCCATGAAGGAGCTTTATTAGAAGACATTGCTGGTTTAAAGTCCGCACGAGACGTGCACTGACATGTGGCAACCAAAGTTGCCAAATCTGACCGCTCGTGGAAAAGAGGAGAGACTCGCGTAATCACCAAAAAGTCCTCGAATTCTTTTACTGTGACAGTTTGAAGGTGAGAGTGCTTGCAATGTATACCATAACATGCATATCTTTTCCTCTCCGCACTACATTCCCTTCCTCCTCTCACTCCATTCCCTTCCCCCTCTCAATCCATTCCCTTCCCCCTCTCACTCCATTCCCTCCCCCTCTCAATCCATTCTCTTCCCCCTCTCTGTCCATTCCCTTCCCCCTCTCGGTCCATTCCCTTCCCCCTCTCAGTCCATTCCCCTCCCTCTCTCAGTCCATTCCCTTCCCCCTCTCAATCCATTCCCTTCCCCCCCTCAGTGCATTCACAATCATTTACACCCGCACTGCATTCCCTTTCCCCTTCTCATACCATTCCCTTGCCCCCACATTGCAGTTCCTTTCCTCTCCGCACTGCATTCCCCTCCCCCTCTCTGTCCATTCCCTTCCCCCTCTCAGTCCATTCCCCTCCCCCTCTCAGTCCATTCTCTTCCCCCTCTCACTCCATTCCCTTCCCCCACTCAGTGTATTCACAATCCTTTACACCCGCACTGCAATCCCTTTCCCCTTCTCATACCATTCCCTTGCCCCCACATTGCAGTTCCTTTCCTCTCCGCACTGCATTCCCTTCCCCCTCTCAGTACATTCCCTTCCCCCCCTCAGAGCATTCACAGTCCTTTATACCCGCACTGCATTCCCTTTCTCCTTCTCATACCATTCTCTTGCCCCCACATTGCAGTTCCTTTCCTCTCCACACTGCATTCCCTTCCCCCTCTCAGTCCATTCCCCTCCCCCTATCAGTCCATTCCCTTCCCCCTCTCAGTCCATTCCCCTCCCCCTCTCAGTCCATTCCCTTCCCCCTCTCAGTCCATTCCCTTCCCCCTCTCAATCCATTCCCTTCCCCCTCTCAATCCATTCCAATCCTTTCCACCCGCACTGCATTCCCTTTCCCCACCATCACTCCATTCCGTCACCTCCCTTCTGTGCATTTATGTCCCCCGCCAACTACATTCCTTTCCCATCTCAGGCCTTTGCCTCTGCCCTGCAGTACATTCGTTTCATGAACTCCTGTCCTTTGTCTTCCCCTCCCAATTCCCATGCACAGGCTCTTAGAGATTTGTTGAGTGAGCCTCGGCTTACCCATCCACTCGTTACTTGTGCACATCGGAAAACGGTTGGGGGTGTTCGGGTGTACGATGCTCCTGAAACCGGCGAGTTTTGGAACAACGTGTAAGCGAGGCCTTTGTTCCAAAACATCCAGTGCATATTGGCCTTCATTATTGTAGACTGGTTGAAATCAGCCCTGTTTGACCCCGTGCAGGATCGCCTCGGTGTTGATGATGTGGTGGCAACCCTTATTCTCTCGTCGGATGAAAAAATAGCGGATGGACGTGGGAAGGCAAAGGGGCATCCAATCTACATGTCCCTTGGCAACATCCACCACGAGGATCGCTGGAAGCCGTTTGGACATGCTTTAATTGCGACTCTACCCGAGTTTCCACCCGAATATACCTCTTTGGACCGTTTGCAAGTGTTTCAACATGTGTTGTCGTTGGTACTGAAACCGCTTAAGGAAGCCTCGCATATGTAAGCGTCATGTCCATCTCTTGCATTCTCTGCCCCTCTATTGCCTTCGCTAACCCTCTCTTGCATTCTCTGCCCCTCTATTGCCTTCTCTGACCCTCTCTTGCCTGCTCTGCCCCTGTATTGCCTTCTCTAACCCTCTCTTGCATTCTCTGCCCCTCTATTGCCTTCTCTACCCCTCTCTTGCCTTCTCTGCCCCGCTATTGCCTTCTCCAACCCTCGCTTGCATTCTCTGCCCCTCTATTGCCTTCTCTAACCCTATCTTGCCGTCTCTGCCCCTATATTGCCTTCTCTTACCCTCTCTTGCATTCTCTGCCCCTCTATTGCCTTCTCTAACCCTCTCTTGCCTTCTCTGCCCCTCTATTGCCTTCTCTGACCCTCTCTTGCCTGCTCTGCCCCTGTATTGCCTTCTCTAACCCTCTCTTGCATTCTCTGCCCCTCTATTGCCTTCTCTACCCCTCTCTTGCCTTCTCTGCCCCGCTATTGCCTTCTCCAACCCTCGCTTGCATTCTCTGCCCCTCTATTGCCTTCTCTAACCCTATCTTGCCGTCTCTGCCCCTATATTGCCTTCTCTTACCCTCTCTTGCATTCTCTGCCCCTCTATTGCCTTCTCTAACCCTCTCTTGCCTTCTCTGCCCCTCTATTGCCTTCTCTAACCCTCTCTTGCCTTCTCTGCCCCTTCAAATCCATTCGCATACCTTCTCTGCCCGTATTGATTGTGCGTTACCCTACCCACCCACACCTCATTTATGAACAGGGGCACTAGAGTGCAGGACCAGTCCGGACACATCTTCACGTGGATGCTGTTATGGCATATATTGAGTGGTACCACACGTGTGGTAAGACCAAAGACTACACCGAGGACAACCTCACAAAGCTCGAAGAACTTTCCACGAAGTATTTAATTGTCCCAATTATTTGAATGCCTTTCTGCTTTTGTGAACATACACTCACACCTTCCGTTCGTGTGTCCGCAGATTAATTACACAACTACAACAAGCATTCCTTCTTTACAAGTGGGGGTTTATCAAGACGCATTTGACATGCCACTTCACCGACGCCATTCGCCATGCGGATCCTCCCATTCACTACGATGCGAGCATGTTCAAGTTTTTCCATAAGGACCACGTAAAGCGACCCTACCGCGCCTCTAACAAGCACGATGCTGGTGGCCAGATCATCCAAGCGGAGGAGATACGATTGCAATTGGATTCGTTGCCAAAATCCATAGTGGCACCAGCTCTTGAATACAACAATGCGATGCGCGGACTAAGGCGTCATTGACCCCAGTATGCCTTGCAATGTTTTGATTTTTGAATATGGCTTCACACTTGTTGCGTTCCGTGGATGCCCTACAGGCTTTGAGGACTGGTGCTCGCACGTTTTCGAGAAGTGCGTGGGGTATGATTGTTTCCCGGCCGCCGAGAACGTCTGTTCGTTGAATTTGTGACACCAAACGCAAAAAGGGACATGGACTATTTGGAAGCACTTGAAGAAGACCTCCCGTTATTTCGACGCGCATTAAATCGTGTAGGACAGAGCGGATCAGCCATTCGCACCATTTACGTAAGTGTTAAAGCCTGGCGCCTTCAAAACATTTATACATTCCAAGCACAGTAATCTGGCTATGTCGTCTCGCGTGTGAACATGTTTATGTAGAAATGGCTATGCCCGGAGCTTCCAACGAGGCATTTAGTGACACCCCCTAACGTATCCGTGCTGTTCCTCTTTTTCAGCGACGTGGCAATATGCGGCGGAAACACCGAGTGGTACGCCAAGGTACTCTTGCTATACCACCCTGGTCCTGGTAACAAACGAAAGGAATATGTGTTACTAAGGTATTACGTCGAAGATGATACCCTCGATACAAAGACACGCTGCAAGCAGTTCAGATTAGAAAGAGCCGTGCAACGGTATGTTGTAGTTGAGACAAACTCGATTCTGAGAGCTATACATCTTGTGCAGCAGAATCCCACCGAGGCCAAATGGTTCCTTAACCACTTTGTATTTTGATGTTCATGGATGTATAAATTGTGCTATATGTTGTATTCTATGTAACAAAAACAACAACCATGTCCTTTGACAGTCGGATGTCTCTTGGTGTCGTAAGGAATAGACTACGTGCGCCTGCTTTAACGGCGGAAATCTATGAGACGTCGGGTGATTATGTTCAAACCAGAGTTGCAGCCACCGCTTCAGTACCGAACCGGTTGCGACACCCAAACCGATTGTCGCTTTTTTCGCACGACTAACCTCGTCCAAGCGATGCTCTGCTGGTCGTGCATTAACCAATCAAAGGTCTTAACAGTCAATCAACGATTTTTAACAACCATAAAGCAGTCGCCTTCTCACGACACACCAACCCAGCTCTGACAATGGTGAACCCAACTCAGTCCTCACCTCTCGATGGTTCCAACGCATTAGGTCGTATTCATCTTCAGCGTGCAACTGCTATACCTGCTAGGTATTCTAATGGCGACACTGGCGGAACCAAGTTGCCAGGCAGGAAAGCTGGTGGTTCCGCAAATGAGGATGCTGCACATGTTGGTAACCAGAACCAAATGTCAAGTATCGATGTTCAAGGAATGACTACTGAGCAGCACACACGCACTCTTGGCGAAGGTGAGTCAGGAAATGTCCTGACAAACCCCTCCCAGCTCCGTGGCTGGAACTTCTAACGCCACTTTGGCACCAGATCTGCACACGATGAGTGACGAAGAGGCGACCCACGAACCAGGTCCACACAAGGACAACTCGGAAACCGACCTGCCAGCATGCGCTGGCTCTCAGGATGTGGCCGCGCCAGTTACGCTCGAACCTGTAGATGCAGGACCGGATGATGCGGATGTTGGCGAGAACGACTCCGATGCAGACGGTGTGTCAACGGGAGTTGTAGTGGGCCCCGTCCTCGCTTGGGCGGAGCCGACTTCGTAGTCGGGTGTGCGGGGAGCGCAGCCGATCAGTTGCAGTGAGGGTGCCTAGCTGGAAGGCGCCGAGCAGGAGGACGCCGTCATGGGCGTCTGGAAGGCGTCTTGGGCGCCTGGACGCCAATTTAGGAGTCTGAACGGCGTCCTGGACGCCGACCTAGGCTTCTAGACGGCGTCCTGGGCGCCTGGACGCCGACCTGGGCGCCTGGGCGGCGTCCTCGGCGCCTGGACGCCGAACTGGGCGCCTGGACGGCGTCCTGAGCGCCTGGACGCCGACCTGTGCGCCTGGACGGCGTCCTGGGAGCCTAGACGCCGACCTAGGCGCCTGGACGGCGTCCTGGGAGCCTGGACGCCGACCTGGGCGCCTGGACGGTGTCCTGGGAGGCTGGACGCCGACCTAGACGTCCGGACGTCGACCTGGGTGCTGGGACACCTCTTCTGGGGACGCCGGTCTGGTGTAGCCGGCGTCCGACTGGGCTGGGCGACCATGCGTGGTTGCCCGGTCGACCAAGTTACCCGGGCGACGTGTGCGATGGTCGCTGGGGTGGTTGCTACGAGGCCGACCTCAGAAGTGGTATCCCGAGGTCGACGTGGCTGGTAGGCGCAGTCGCTGGCGTGGACTCAACCTGGACGTCTGCGCTGTGCACGTGATAAGGAATGGTGCACCAACCAGATGCATGCACCTGCGAAGCAGGTGCATCGTTGTCCTGCGGGTGCAACGCTGTGCAGCCGACTTGCTGCAGCATTGGCACACCGTGGACTTGCAATGTTGGCAACGCTGGAGCGGTGCAAGCTCTGCTGCGTTGGATCGCGGTCGACCATGCTGCGCTGGAGGTCGACCAGCAGCCTAGCTAGCTCTGATGTAGTCTGTGTTGCCAATGTTGTATCAACCATTGTTGTGAACTTTTGCTAGTGAAACTCTTGCCTATTTCCCCGTGAATGCGCAAGTAGAGAACGCACAAGTGAACGACTAAGGAACGAATGCAGAGATCCGTCCTACCCCGTGCCTAGCTCGTAGTCTAGCTCTCGTTGATTAAGTTATCTTCGCATGGTGCGGTGAGCGTGGACGGCACCGCAACAATACCTTCGGTATAGCCGACTTGTGCACTTACCTATTGTGTTCGTAGACCGGCTGCTGTGCGTTAGTCACCGTGGTAGTCGCCGTAGGTGACGCAGGGGTGGTGGACACCCTGGAGGCACGGCTGGAGGATGCAAGGAAACGCCATGAGGCTCGCGAATACGGGGAGACGCTCCCCTGGGCGGTCGTCGAGGCTAGCATCCGCGCTGTGTGGGCGACAGAGCACCCTTCTCGACCAGCCTCTCCTCAACCGGTGAACAACGAAGGCGGCGTCGACGTGGGCATCAACGCCGGTGACCAGGTCGGCAGTAGTGTGGGAGGCACGTCGAGGCAACGAGGAGTGATTCACGCCGATGAAGTCGGCGGCGTTCAGGCGCGAAGGATGCAGTCGTCGGCGCCTGCAGGCACCTTGCAGGGTGACGTCCGTGGATGTCGGAGCAGAATGACGCCGATGTCGGCGACCCATGTGATTGCGGGTGGGATAGCACCGAGCTACGGCTACTTCAAATTCACGCCGGACAGGATCTCGGTCACCCCCCTGCTGGTCGGTCAACCTGACATTCTCACCTGGAAGGAAGCCATCGAGCCTCAGCTGGAGATGGCCGGGCTGATAGGCTTCGCCCACGGCACCGTGGCGACGCCGTC